ATCAGAAAAGCAATTTTGCCAATGTCGCAAATATTGGACGGTTAAATTAAGTGATATTGAGGGAAATTTCAAAATTAAATTTCACATAAGTAGCGACGTAAAAAGGTCATATAAATGTTACGTTCATCATAATTACAGTTAATTTTCAATACTTAATCGAAATAGATATTTACGAGCTAGTGGGTGGGCTCCATGAATCAAAAGCTATCGTATCATTTAAGCTATTTTCAATCCATGATCGCTGAGTATAGCAAAAGTTGAGTATTATATCAAAAGAAGACGTCTTCTTTCATTGCACTCTCTCCCAAAAAGAGTATCTTGCAAAAGAAACAAAAAATCCCAATACATCATACAGAATCACAAAGGCACATACTCTTTCTCTCAGTGGAAATGCCATTATTGAAAGCTTTCTAGCCTGTAAAAACTTAAGGGGTCCTTGCTACTGGTATTGAGGCACTTAATCGTATTAACCAAAAACACTCGTCGAAAACGAGTCTATACATACATGACTTTCTCGTAGGAAGAAATTGCAAATAATATTCAATCATAATACGAATGGTAGACTCTGTAGTCTATTCATAGAAGGATTAATTAACTTTACAAAAATTATTTACGAATTCAGGCTCTGGATGGCTGTGTCATGGCGATGGCAAGGTCTTGGAAGCTCCGTTTATTCTGGTTTGCCTCTTTGACATGGCGTAAAATTCGCCCCTGTTGAAAAGAATCAAAATGAAGAAATTTTCAAACCCAGCTTATACTTCCGGTTGAATTATCTTTTAAAAATACGTCAGATTTAAGGATCAAATGAAATACATAAAAGCTTTCTAGCAGTTATCACAGAGTCTCCAAAATCTATCGTCAAAGGTAACAAATCTAGTCTCAGAAATATCTACTATATCTTCTACCATTCTCTTAAATACTTAGTGAAACACGCAAAAAAGGAATTTTTAATAAACTCGATTTTCATGGACCTTTTTTTTATAATATATATCCATTAAAAAGTTACAATATATGAATACAAGCTACGCTACTTACAAATTTATTTTACAATACTACTCGGAAGATACCCCGAGGAGCAAAGACTATGACTACCCCGGGGACATAGACACAGAGGCTGAAATAAACTACCATAGTCTGTCTCAAATTGCATGCCACGAGAAATGTCTGCGATCAATTTATGGACCTCTCCGGTATCAGGATACCATAGCATAAAGATGAATGCTTGAAGGTCAAATCTTACATTTCTGATTGTAATGCAGAGGGCATTGAATACCATATAAATACCAAAATGAAATTACCATAAGCTTGCCATCAGATCTAGGATTATCTTGTGCCTTTCTCCAGAGATTCAAGGCAAGTTTCGTCATTTGAGGTGACTCAAGGTCAGCACTTATGATTATTCTGTTGAAATAAACGAGAAAAGTTATAGAATTAGGCAATTTTCATCATTATAAAAATCACTTTTGCATCACAACTTGAATCAATGAAGCAACATAAGCTAATTCTTGTTGAATTTGAAAAAAAATTGAAGTGTGAAGCACTCAAACGTTAATTAACTAGAAAAGATGCTGCTTCATTCCAAAAGGAATTGCCACGATAGATGTAATTGTCTTAAGAAAATCGCTGATTTAATCGCTGACACGACTATTTCCTAATGCCACTTAATTAAAGGCATTTCCTTGCAATTAGATATTGCCACGAGCATGAGATGCCTACATCGTAACAGTATTGCATCATATTTAAAGTAGATAATTAAAACCGTAGAACTATCTCTGAAGACGTATTTGTACAGCAAAAACAAACAAGCTTAATAATGGCTTGATCACTATGGTTTCAATCCCTGCAAAAATATGCACTGGTTCAAGCTGGAATTGATGGATTCAAGTTGACGTCATCAATTTTGTACCTCGCTATCTACGGATCTTTTTCGAAAATGGACTTCAGAATTGAAATCTTCATCTTTAAATTAGTTTATACTGAGATATTCATGTTGTTTGGACCGTTCGGTCGCATTTTACTTTGTTTCGAATATTTCTTTAGATTTGACAGGAACTTGCTGCTGCAGTGAAAAAATTTCACTACAGCAACAAATTCCGTTGAAATGTATAGGAAAAGCTAATTTTTGAAAAAGTGGTAATTCGCAGCCTGACGGCCCAAACAATTTGAAATTTTTGGCACAGACTAATTTCAACATGAAGGTTCCAATTCTGATATCCATTTTTGCCAAATGTGAAGATACAAATTGCTCGAATCCGCGAATAAAAGAAATGATAAAGTAACTGCTTGAATTCTGCTGCCTATTATCATATTCTACTATCAATTTTAATTAATAATTGAATACAATACTTAATATAATCAATTTTTTTCTTCTACAGAACTTGAAAATGGCTTTGAAAACAACAATTTTCAGACGAAAAAGCTTTTAGTAGTATTTTATGAATGTTTGCTTTTTTCAAAGCAATTTCAAATACTTAATATGTTGCCTTACGTTTTTTATGTACTATTATATAAGCTTAATTTGGAGTAAATTGATTAAAAAATTACTACTTTCACTTCAAATTTTTATAAGAAGATACCGAACTGACAAAGCTGTAGAAAGTTAATATTGATGAGCTATAAATCAGTTCAATGAATATCATACTAAAATAAGTACTAAAATCATCTCCAAAACTTGATCAGATTAATGGAAGCACGAGTTGTGGAGACGATCCATCCAAAGATAATACTGAAAAAATGACCAGGGAAACCTTAGACTTAACTTTCGTGAAACATTCCTATTGGTACGTGAATCCTGGTGATTTGTATTTGTAAACAAGTTATTAGCTGGAAGATTCAAGGATTTACGATTGCTATCGGTGTCCGTTTCAAGAAATACGCGAACTAGAATGCAACCATTAATTGCAATTTCGGTTTTGAGGCAGACTGAATCTATAAAATCTTAGATAACTACGCAAAATGTATAAATGTATTGTGGCTTAAAAAAGTTAACATCGACATGCACTCAGTAATTTTGCTAGATTGGTGACCCAAACATATATGGTGAAGCCAGTTACAATACAATGATACTTCAACTAACAGACGCTCCCTCGTAACGAACACCTCTGCATAAAGGACACATCGTCACAACGGACACCTCTGCATAACAGACATATATGGACAAGTAAACACTGCCCCGAAATTCTTCCCTGCAGTCAAAGCCTTGTAGAACAAACCTCAAGAAAACGAAAAACCCTCGATTGTTGAAAATAACTCTGTTTCTTAATCACAGCCTCATTACTAAACTGCTAAAAAGTCAAATCTCTAAGCCAAGTTTTAAATTGCAAATGTCTCTTTTTTCTAACATTCTATTTGCAATAAAATGAAGATGACAAGAAAAATAATCAACAAGAAGGGAATTCAAAAAACAACAAACCTATTGATCAATGCTATTAACAGCTGGCCTTGTACTTTCGGATTCTACAAAAAAATTTACAATAAATATTTTGGGAACAAAAGTTCCAATGCCTTAGATGTAAATAGTAGCATAGATCTTGAGCAGCCCTGCCAAGCAGAACAGGAAGCTAGGACGCCTGGTAGGAGCTACAATCCTGGCCAAAAGTTATTTGATTGGCTGGCAAATTGTTGTCTTTTTGAAAAAATACGCTCCTCACCCCCGACAGTCAATGTTGATACGCTTATTTCTACGCATCTAAACTGCTGTTACCTGGGTTTTTTCCAGAAAACCAATATTGCTGCAGTGGTTTTCATGGCTTTTCGTGGTTTCAAATAGTTTCGAATGGTTCTCAATAGTTTCTAATGGCTTGGATGATTCCCAATAGAATAAGTTGGTTTAAAATATTGTTGAATGGTTTCCAATATTTTCTGGCGTCAAACACTTACTAGAAACCTTTGCTCTCGACTCACAGTTCCTTTAGTTATAATGGACCAAACTCATTAATCAATAACACTGTTCAACTTCAAGCCTTAACAATCAGCTAAAGTGTGTGAGTCGTAAATTTGTTTTCATAGGATTCAGCAGAAGGACGTTTGGCTAGCAACAGGGTTTTAATAGGCAAGAACATACAGGCAATACACCGTGAACGGTGTTGGAGGTTGATGTTTTTCTAGCAAGCTTTTTCCGGCCAAAAAAACTTACAATTATTTAATAATAAGATCGTGAATCGTCGCATCAAACGAATCTAGGCCTTATAATCTTAAAGGAAAATATCTTTAGCGTTAGTCAAAATTAGTACATAAGTTGAAGAGTTGTACTGAGCTTTACCTGTAACAAACAGGTCCTCTGCCACATAAATTTATGGAGACCTCATTTACAACATATGAAACGACGACTCAAAAGAATAAATACTCTGTCTAGAACACAATTTTCCACTCTCATTTTACCATGTTTACTGCAATCCATCATCTCCCAACTCCTCTTTTTAAAAATCTTTCTTTACAAATAATAGATTATCATAACCAACAAAACAAAGAACAAATCACTGCAACGCACATTTAACGCCCCTGGGAACATTCACACACAATTCAACTACCGAACAGAACAAATGCGCAATTATAACGCTTGAACACCACTGAACAAACAATGATAACCATACTACATCAGCCATTTTACACAACAAGAATACTCCAAATACGCAATCATAATAATAAGCACATGAAACATAATGTAACATTACCTTTTCACCAAAACTTATAATGTCTTCGAGAACTTGTTTCAATAAAGTATCGACTATTTTTACCACCTCCGCTATAAATTTCTTGTCTGCACCATACAGCTTGTCGTTGGAGTCGACTAAAACAAAAAGAGAGCCATGGCATAAGACAGGAAAGGACTATTATTTTCTGTGAATATGTGTCTTTAAATGCCTTGACTTGGTTTTATCTTTTTGGTAACATATAGGATCAGAACTGCATTAGATCCGTAAATTATCAGAATAATTTTCAGTCCAATACATCCCACTGAAGTACCCAAAAGTTCCGAAGTAAGCACCATACATGGAATCTTCGTGTAACAAATACTATAAATTCGAATTGTTCTTTTGAACAGCCTACTCGACTCCAGTGACGGACACTTGGAGGGGGGCTAGGGGGTAGTCGCATTTTGGAAGACAATGGTATTTTGTTCTAAGACAATGGGGAAAATGCGACGTCGTCTTATCAAAACAAAAGGCTTGCCCCCCCCCCCCCAATTTGTGTCCGCCACTGTTTGACTTCCAGGGTTCACCCTTAGAAATAGCGTACCAAATCTGACTGAGCACCCTAAATATAGAAATCCTCACTACCTCCAGGTATAGCTCTTTCAGTCAGCTCTCTTCCTTTGGCTTCTATTACTTCAATCACAACATGAAAGATATCAACACTGCTTACCTTTGTCGATTTGATATAAATAGGAATCCTAAAAAGCAAGCAAAAACATTGCTTTTTACTGGAACTCAAAGCAAATACCGTCAAAGATATTGTTGCTTAACCTTGCTTTTTCAGATTTTGCGGTATCTAAGGCTTATCTCAATCAACAGAAAATTAAAATGTCAGTAATTAAGAAATCAGGTTGAAGAATCAGTGATGAAAAATGAATGTCTACCATTAACATATGAATATTTTTTCAAAACATGAATCCTTATCATGCAAGAATTTTTGTAATATTTTGTAAACAACTGCTTAGTACAGAGGGCTGATATTCAAACAACAGTATTTCAGTGCTGTTTGTGATTTTGTGTTGCCCAAGTTCACAATTTTCATGGTTTACAAATAGATCGGATGAGCAGTAAACATGAAAAGAAATTTCATAGCATTAAGCATCAGGGTATAGTAGTTTTACCGAGAATTCAAAACGGTTGAGCATAAACGGCACAAATAGCTTACTGCCCTGAGAAATAAATTTGCAACATCTGGATAGCTAATAGAGGACAACATAAAATGAAAGATGGGCAGGTCCTAAGCTTTCGAAATTATAGAGAAAAAATGAGCCCTTTCGTTATGTACGTTTTCTGTCATTTTGAATCTATATTATATTTAGTGCACCTAAAATACCCTACTGGGTAATTGCCGCTTGGGGTGGGAACAACAAAACCCCGTCCAGTAAAGGGTTTGTTTTGATTTCAGATCGATGGTAGACTTCATCCGAATGTTTGATCAAACTTGCGGATAAAATACAAAAAGCGCAAGCAGAAACCAATACCAACCTGGCATGATGCTGACAGTGTTACAATAGCGTTTAGATAGACCCTCGCCCTCGCATCCGAGCTTTCTTCCCAAGCGTAATCTTGGACAACATTTAGAAGTCCTCGAAAAAGGTACAGGGTTCCATGCTCTGGGTGATCCTGCAAAAACAAACGACAAAAATGAAAAAAATAAATTCATTGGATGCTGTGGCAACTACAACTAAATCTAACAATTAGAGCAACACTCGCCTAACCGGTTTCAAAAAAAATAAAGGGGGCCAGTACCAAGGGACATTTCGATCCAAGAAAATCTTGCACGTCTTCTACAACCTAAACCTTAAAAATATAGCAAAAATAACCTTACTACTTTTAAAATGACGAGATAGAAATAAGAGGGCCATTACCGTAGGACATTTCAAAAAAGATCTCGTACACCTTTTACAAAGATCCTTGTGTTTTCGAAAAATCTCCTTAAAATCTCAAAAAAATTTTCATGTCTTTCAGAATTTTTTACGCTGTTTGGAACGAGTGAACCACCTCTCGATCAGGAACAAAGCTCTTCAACTTTCTAGTGACATGGCAAAAACCCTTCGAACTTATGTTTTTTGCCCTTATGGTCAGATACAAGAATTAGATACCTCTGTTGTAGAAGATCTCTGGATACACATTGTTTAAAAAATGGCCTATTGGCAACATAGTTTTGAGCTCGGACTAGAGACTGTAATGATATGAACAGCGCAATTTTTTTTCCAATCGACTTTTCACCCAAGCAAGTATTTTCGGAAATTTCTTAGCGAAAAATTATGTACGTTTCCTTGAGTACGAGTACATCCCTTGAGTACGTTTCCTCGATGATTTTGAAACATGTATTATCCTTCATTGTTGAAGATTTGTCAATTGCCTGTGGTTTTTTCTATGAGGAATTAGCCAGGAGGAAACGATAAATGTCTCGACTTTAGAGCTTACTATTGAAATTGAATATGGAACAAATATGCACACATTGAACTGCTTTTGATGCAATAGTAAACGTAGAACGTAGAACCATTGGTCCTTTTTGTGGAGTGTAGGCACTTTTTAGGTACAAGAAACGTTTTGCTGATAGTTGGGAACGCGGAAAATTCACGTATGTTCGATTGGAATGAATAAAATGAAAATTGACAAATTTAAAAAAACAAGAAACATAAGCATTTTTTATTAAAAGTTTCAATATATGAAATTATACAAATAAAAAGCCTTGGTCAAAGAAAAACCTCGCACAGTCAAGTAACCTGTCTTCAACAGGCATTTTACTTACCGGAACAACAAGCAAAGTGGATAACAGGTTGTATATGAACTCTTTAAGGTATGGTTCGGATGTCCTAGCCTTCAGGTCGATTTCTAAAAAATGAAGAAATGTTGTGTTAGAGCTGTATCTTGGTCTATTTGGTATAAATATTCGACACAAAAGGCTTTTATATAAAAAAATGGAAATACATTTGGTCATTTTTTTGAGAACCTTGTTTTAAAGTTTGACTACCCATATCTTCAAAAAAGATAATTAAGACATTTCGTTATGAAAATAATTGTCGAAAAATATTTGAAATTCACTCAAATTATTTAGTCAAGAGTCGACTCCAATTTTTTGTGCCAACCCCCCCTCCCCCCCCCCCCTTAATGCAATAAGACCATTCAAGACAATAAGATTGGAATGACTGAGGTTGCCAGGTAGCAAATATTTTTTTGCCGGTCTGTTGATAGAGTGTTCGATACTGAACAGACAGAGTGTCACACTGGGGGGGGGGGGTTGTTATGATTGGACCTTGGTGCCACATGCTTTTGCTTCGTTTTGTTTCGACTGGCTTCCAAAAAGTGTTTCTTACTAAATCGAAGCAAAATTCACCGAAGGACACCAAAAAGTATTGAAGAGGTGTCAAACCCATCGCACCTTCCTGGTAAATCCATCTAGAACCGTCCTGTTCTGCAGATCAAGCGAGCGGTTCGCTTTTTGATTAATACTACTAAAAATCGACTCTGCATCATACCAAACACATCATTGGCCCTTTCACAACATGGCACATTCAAAATAATAAACATCCTTGCTGATTTTCAACATAGAAAGGAATCAATCAAGCCCTGATCGAATGATATCATGATTTGCACTTACCAATTGTTGCAGGCACTTCAGCTATAAGATTTACTGCAGTCCTCAAAAACGCATCAGCTAAAATTAATTTTGATTTATAAAGGACTTTTTGCTACAATATGATTACAATAACGTCATCCAAATGAATGGGATCCTAAGCTATGCATGCCCAAAAACAAACAAAATTGTCTTAATATTATATTCGTTGCAGCCTATGATTATATTAGATCATACAAGAATCATGGAAACGAGACATACAGGTTTTACAAGTAAAATTAACATATTTAAGAACCCAAACAAACTGTATCATTGTATCAACTTCTAAAGCACTTTCTTTCTGTTTGCCAGTATATAGTTATTATAGTTTCTGTTGGCATGATTGATGGTATGATTAGTAAATTTCGATATCCAGCTCTTTTGAGTCTTATATAGAAAACAATTTTGCTTCATGATTTTCTAAATATATTTGTAGTATTAGCTTGATGTATACGCAGATGCATAAAAAATGCAGAAGCTTCGGGAGGCCAAATTCGGGCAAGCAAATCGGCCTAGCAAGCTGTACGGGCAAATAACTGCAAAATAATGCAATGCTAGATACCTTGTCCAATAGCTTGATTAGCTAATGCAACTTGTCCAGAGAGAAGATAAAGCTTTAGCCTTTGAAATATGTCGATCATCGAAGGGATGGTAATAAAGCAGTACGCCATGCAGGCCTAAAATGATAAATATAGCAACTGTAAAAAGTACTAGTGCAGTAAGAAGTATAATAGAAAGACTGTATCTACATGTATCTACTGCTTAATAATTTGCGTTGGATTTCTTGCGAAGTGAGTTTTCCTGTACATTTGTTACAAAAATAATACTTTGCCATAAAAATTCTCACCCGAACGAATGCAGCCGTTTTTCTTGTATGATTTCCCTTAACAATATCACGTGTTCTCATCGCCAAGGAGTTCACTCTCTGCAATAATATATAGGAAGTTCAGGTTTGGGAATGCACCACAATACCCTTTGTGATTAAGTTTTCTTAGCATTCGACGAAGAAAGTGGAGAAGGCAAGGAGCGTTTTGGATTCAGTCTTAACGTTTGAAACTGGGAAACTGTTTATCAAGTGATGATATGAACACTTCGTATGAGGTTGGAGGGGGGGGGGTGGCAATTTACTGACAAGCAAACTACTAGCCTTCAGCAGTGCTTAAACAAATATTTAAACAAACGCTTTCAGGAGTACTTAAACAAATATGATTTTCCTCTTTTCGTATTAGGTATAAGTTGAAAATAAACCCCTATAAAGAAAATAATGCTAATAACTGTCCGATTAATCTTCAGTTATCAGGCTCACAGCTAACCCTCCACAGCTAAACCAGGACAACAGCATTAAACCCTTGAAGTTGCCAAGGATTCTCCACATTCATTGATGCGTTATTATTCATTTTGAAGATTTTTCACGTTCATTGTTTTCAATCGAAGTTGATTTTTCTTGGCTTTTAATGCTGACCCATACCCATTTCGAAACCTATTTTCCTTTCGTAATCCACCACCATCCGACTCAACACCCTCCCCCCCCCCTCCCCCAATCACCCCAAAAACTACACGCATTGATCTCTTAAACCGAATCACATATAGGCAGAGACAGGGAAATTGACAAAAAATGAAGTACTTTCTCAAACAGAGAATACGTTTCAACGAATACTCAAAAACCTTTCGTAAAAAAGAACTACTTGCAACAACGCTTGATAACGGATGCAAAAAGGATTACTTACTTTGAAATTTCACTAGACAAAACATGCATCATTATCCCTTTGCGGCATTTTAAGTGTATTAGCTAAATAACCGAATCCAAATAAAGTCTCGTTGATAAAAAGATTTTAAATTAAAAGGATGAAAAAATAACCTACGAAGAAAAGCTGCAATTTAACTTATTTAATAAAATACTTTATAAGCTAACTCGATTTGCGCATTCAAAAAGATCAAAACAAACTCTATCTTGTAATCAACAAAAACATATTCTAACGTGAAACTTTAAACTCAAAAGAAGAAAGGACTTTAGACTTAGAATCGAAAACTGGAATTGATCTGTGTTTTAATTGGAATTAATAATAACATGGTGAATTCATCAAGAAACTCACCTGAACTAGGACTGTCAGCACATTGTCTAAATTAGTAAAACTGTCTCTTGCTAAAACATAAAAGTTCAATTGCTGCTCAAAATCTCTTCCGTAATCGACCTAGAACATAATAGTCGGCGGTTACCGATTGAAAAATATCAAAGATTATTACAACCAGATTATTATAAAGATAAACATTGAAATAAACAGCTTTGAAATTGGACGATATCAGTGCTTTATGTGCACAGAAGCCTAGCGCTTGATGACGTATGGCCAGAGATGTACACGCTCATCTGAATATACAAATACCATAACTCCCTGAAATTTCTATTCAAATTTTAGGTGAGCAAAAACGTATAAATATTCATTATTTGTTCCTTCATTAACCACTATTTTTGCGATTGCTGCTGAAAATAAGCTACTTAAAGCCAACATTCTCCAGTTTACTTCCTTTTACTTCACAATTATTTCACTACGAGAGTTGATGATACCAAAATGGTACAATATTCCGTAAGGCACAAAAATTACTAAAACTTAAAGCAAACAAACAAAAGCAATTTAGGCATACCGTTTGCACAAAACGGGAAATTAAATTTCCAATAAACCTTCGATTATCTTCCAGTGATAAAGAGCTGAAATTAAATTATGAATGATTAAACAAAATTAAAATATATTCCCTCCCTATATTCCAACTATGAAGAGCAAGACGTTCCGAGGCTTTTGGAAAATCTTTAGCGTTTGAGCTGTTCTAAAGCGCCAAGGAAGGCACGAGCATTAGTTCAGTTCAGTTCAGTTTCATTATTTAAAATTCCACACATACAATACAATGCAATAAATTACAATACAATTAATACAATTAAAAAATAAAAAAGAGAGCAATTAGATAGAAAATAAATTAAACATATTGAATTGTAAGTGTGAAATTTCTTAAGGAGGAACTCTCTAAGTAGGTAGACTAACGAGAAGAGAGCCCCCCTATCGGATCTATAGTTCTAAAATATGGAGCTCATTCAAAGTTAATACTTGGTCAAATCAAATGCACAATGGTTAGAAATTTTGTGAACAAAAAGAGATTAATTGATGACCAGTGTTTTAAATTTTCTAGAAAATGCGTTTTCAGTTTTGATTTAAAAGTAAGTTTAAGTGAGCATTAGATTTCAAATTGCAAACTGCAATATCTAAGTATGATATTTTTTTCCTTAAATGAAGAGTAAAAATCTGTAAAGCCCGATGTGGAAATGACAAACAAACGAACAGATCTTTTTTGATACTACTTCGATTGTAACCAAACATCTTAAATTGTAATCAAGGTAAATATCGACCGGTAATGTCACTATCCCTGTCATGTCTGTTTTTTAATTTTAATATTCAAAAGATAAATTTTATACAATACATACACAGAGAGTCCAAATCTGAATTGATACGTACTTTACAGAATCATGCATCGTTTTGCATATTTGAGTCAGTGCATTGATGATAACAGGGTCAGTAGTATCTTCTTTCTGAAAGCTAAAAGAAACGAGACACAAACGTACTGGCGATGACGATAAATTGCCCTTTTAAAACATAGTCGCTTTGCCAGATAAATTTTCAGGTTATCGAGGGGCTGCCCATGATCTCTAGAGAACTACTAGAGAGTTTATTCTGGCACAAAATGGCCTTTTGATGTGTCCCTTTGAAATATGGACACATGACATATGACATTTGACATATTGCAGTGCCTTTTGACACAGTGGTATGCTAAACTCTCTCAAATTGCCTTGTTGTTCTTTCTACCACAAAATGATTTGGCTTATCCTAGATAAAAGGCCCTTAGCTCTAAGTGGCAACGAAATACTTTTTCTGAAGCTAGCCCACAAAGATTAAAATGAGCAATATAGGGCAGCTTTGATACGTGAGTAATGAAATGAAAGACTGAAATCTTCTTATAGCAATTTTGTCTTTAAACAGTGCCAAGGGTCTTTCCAAGAAATCTAAATCTGAGAAACTAACTCAAAAGCTGTAACAGGGATCACAGAAAGAATACGGTTGCAAAGATAGAAAAACAGCAGTAAGATACGGATCTCGAAATCCAAAAATAATATAACTTTTTTGTCAGCAAATATAGATATGTCTCGGATCGAAGAAAAGTGTTTTGGAAGGCAATCATGTAAGAACAGTTAACAAACCGTATGAAAGCTTCCATAATTGTTTTGCAAGCATCGACTTTCATCGACTCCTTTTGAAACATGTCCAAGAAAGGTAAAAACTTTTCCTGGAATCAAAGTGGAAGAGGTCGAAAACTGGAAAAATAGTGCTGAATATACACGATAAGCAGGTCACTACTTGATAAGCAGACTGATAAAATCATTTAGAATGGATCTTCCTTCTAATAAAGTCCAAATATGACTTCAAGGCAAAACTCCCTGATTAAGAATTACAAGCTTTATACATTAAAAAATGCATTGATGACACAAATGCACAAATATAAGACAGGTTTCTTTTGCAACATTGCTACCAAATGTGAAGAGGACTTATTGATGGTATTATAAAAGAGGAAATTTTAAAATAAAGTTTAAACTATTTCAACAGCCAGTGGAAGGGGAAGAGCTGCGCAAAAAAAGAGAAAATGCCGCACGGAAAGAGTGAAAGAGTCGTGCAGAGAGAGTGAAAGAGCCGCGCGGAAAGAGTGAAAGAGCCGCGCGGAAAGAGTGAAAGAGCCGCGCGGAAAGAGTGAAAGAGTCGTGCAGCGAGAGTGAAAGAGCCATGCGGAGAAAGTGAAATAGCCGCGCGGAAAGAGTGGAAAAGCCGCGCGGAAACATAAAAGCATACCATCTGGAACAATGCATTGAAGTCTTTCATATTGCTGACGACTTTGGAGACAATCGAGATAAGCTGAAACAGAAACCATACAATCAGTTAACAGACGTCTGCTAAATGATAAATGAAAACACATGAAACGAAGTTGTGTGTAACATGTAGAATAGTGTGTAGCTGTGACGTTATTAGCCTCGTATTTATGTTATGTTGGGCATGCGCCCGTTTTTCGTAATGTTATGTTCTAGGCGTGAGAATACAAAATGGATTATTAAAGTTCGAGTTGGGGTGTTCTTTCGTTGTTATCTACCGGATAATCTTACAGTAGCTATAGCTGAAAGAATAATTAAACATCACTAGCACTGACACTGTGATGCACGTCATTTTGCTTTGGTGCTATTTCGTTAAAAATTCACAAAAACAAGATGCTTACATGTATGCTATGGTTGTAACAAGTATAAGAGGGCATAAAATGCAAAAATTAGTTCTTCCTGTTTCCTATTTTGCTTCTGCCCTCTTTTTAGATTCCCTAGCTTCTCTAAATGTGTTACATCGCCATAACGAATAAACTAACAGAAAACCTAAGCTTTTAAAAACTTTTATACGCATTGAAAATAGCCAAAACTATAGTGTTTGTAAAGCTATATAAAAATATACGTAGACTCCAAAGGTAAAGAAAGAGGACTTCCGTTGCTAAAACGTCACTAAGAACTACGGCACACTGCACTAGATTTTTGCAATTTGCCAATATCATCCTGTCTCTCCCTTCGTACAATTTTTTGAATACAGAATTTTCAGAGGCTCCCATTTTCTGCAATTGATTTTCTTCCAAGAGCATGATATTTCACTCTACAACTACCATTACTTTGAGGGAGAGAAGATTCAGCGTCGATTTCCTTTTACGTAAAGATCTTAGAATCAAATTGTTTGGCTAAGAAGCGCGTAGCTCTTTACAGGGGCTGTAGAAGCAAGATACATACTTGCGGATAATGGTCTTCGAAAGCTCTATCAGGTGTCATATGTTTAATAATATCTCCAAGAAGCGTATTCAATTCACGAGCCTAAAAATCGTAAAATGTTGGAAATGTTAAGAATTCAAACCACAGGCGAGTCATTATTCGAATAATACTATTTTCATCTACTTACAAATAGATAAAGATAAATATTGGTCTACACCGCAAAGAGATACGAAATGAATGCGTTGAAGAGACTATATATATGGGATCTGTCTACTAGACTCTTTAAAAAACATGCATAAACATGAGAAAATAAGTACGGATCTAATTTCAATTGGAGTTCTACCATTTGTCAACACAACGTTAGGATGTGGAAACGTTTCCCAGCCAATGGTAATTAATTTTTAAGGGAATTTGGAAAGAAAAAGATACAAAAAACTGATAAGCCATTAAATGTGAAAAAGACGTTTGGAGGAAAAGCTGCATTTATTTTCATTTCGATTCTGACAGAAAAAATGAAACGCAAAACCTCCTAGCATTTATGGGCAAGAAAATCAACAGAATCAAAAATATGAAGATGTTTCCAGAAAGCTTATAAAAACATGTTGATACAAAATTTAAAATATGTTTTTTCGAGAAAATGCAGAATATATAAAATGTGAACAGTTTTTTTGGCGGTACAGAACTTGAAAAAAGCAAACATTTTACAACATATTGGCTAAAATCTTTTTCGTCTAACACTCCTCAGAAAATAAATCTGCCAATTATCCGAAACATGTCGTCATTATAGAGTTTTGCACAATCTGAGTTATCTAAAAAATGTTGGCCGGTGGCAGAATCACTTGTTTTAACAGTGTTTCTAGACCTACACGATCGAGGAGGCTTTTCTCTTTGAGGGGCAGTTTTGTTTCTTATGTTGGAATGAACATGCTGTTTCATCCTATCCCCCAACCTTTGGGTTGTGCGTCCTACGAAGCCAGAATAACACTGGCATTAAAATTTATAAACAATGGAACTCTTTTGGGTGGTAGGAACGCAATACTTCTAAACGGATGGAAGGACTCTCCTAGTACTGTAAACAATGCCAGGATTGACAGCAAAGGAACATCTTGTGAAAACTTGCCTAATCTGACTCTAGAATCGCAAGGAAGTGTCACCAATCCATGGTAGTTTCAAATAAAATGGACATTTTTGCGGGCCAAACTTCCGAAAAACTTGCAATCTTCTCATGAGTATAAGACAAAATGACATCTTCTGGATAGCCGTTGTCCAGAAAGATCGTTTTAAGTTTTACCAGTTCAGCGTGCAGTTTAGATTTCGAGCAGATCATGAGTGCCCTATGTACTAAAGTTTGACAAGGTTGACTTTGCGTTGTTTTGGTCGTAGTCGAACAAACACGAAAGCCAACAAAGATATTGGCCAAGGCAGGTCCCAGAGGGCTACCCATAGCGACACCATCCTTCTGTTGGTACATTTCATTGTACTGAATTCGACTCAACTGAACGTGTTGCAGTTTCCATCAGTTCAATGAATACTTCCTCTGGGAATGGTTGGCTATTTAGCTCGCTCCGGTACAAAGCGTCGGCACATATTTTGATGGTCTCATTCAAAGGGACATTTGTGAAAAGACTGCTAATGTCGAAAAAACACATGAAAGATATTTCATTTTCGATGTTCAAATTAATAAAAAAAACTTAGATGTCTCGAATGAGTAGATTTGAAATATTTTACCGTAAAATGTTTAATTGGGTATTCAATCCAAGCATCTGCAACTTCAATATAAACCTGTTATATAAAAAAACATTCAATCAAATAAAAATGTATCTATCCATAAAGTAATGTTACATGGTGAGCGTGTTAACGGACATAGAAAACATTGTAATTTCAGTTGTCACAGCAAGAGCACGCTTTGTGCCTAGCAGAAGGATTGAAGCGTTCCTGGACTCTGGCAAAATAAGTCAAATCAAAAACTCTCGATTTTAGATAACTTCTAGGACTTTTACTACGTTGCGATAGGAGGAGATACAAGGATTGTAAGCTTTAATTCGAATGCATACGAGCTTTAAAGTAATAAAAGATTAATGTGGTGGATAGTCAGGCCGGTAGTAAATTTCGACTCCAAAATCCAAGAAACTGCGATTTGAATCCCTGCTCTAAATATAAATTCAGTAAGCACGATAAAGGCTTCTCACTTTCCGAAATTTTAAGCGTAGAAATCAAACTATGGCGAAGAAGGACCCGGATACAAGTCGACATGCATAACTTGTAAATGTCGAAAAACGTATCTAGGGAAAGACAAAGAATGTAAGGTAGAGACAAACAAAGAAAAACTAAACAAACAAACAAAGACAAGCGAACAAACAAATGATAGCTTGTGATAAAAATCCTAAAAGGTAAAAATGCAAAGATTTATGGAAGTATATTAAAAGTAAGTGATATTTGTATTTCTAAGGAAGCACTCACTGCTGGATCTTTGATTTTTGTTACAACTTTCCACACCTGAAATCAATATTAAAAAATTCAGCAATAAATGCATCTTTATTTGTAAGAGAAGAGAACATACCAATAAATTTAAGTAAATAGTCAACGTTACCAATAAGAGATATGAAAACAACTACAGTTTGTTGGCATAGAGATCATATTTGTATTGCAAATTACAAATTGCTTCTTTTCGAAGCAAGAACCACTTTGGTATAAAACCCTTTTCAACCAATTGAATGTAGCTAGCCAAGAACATGATTTTGGTATGTACCGTCAAGTATATAAAATACAAATCGGTTTAGATCAGGACGTCACAATTTTTTTAGTGAGTATGGTAATTTTCTGGGGTAAAACTTCCAGTGTAAATTAGAGTTACGATGTGAGAGGCAACTTGATAACAAGGCTCTTGCGACTAACCCCCACAGTTTAAATCAATTGTCTTTTGTCTGTGTAATTAAAAATCCATCAAAAATCACAGCAGAAAAATCAGCTGGATATTTGAAAGAAGGGGTTTTACCTCGTTGAGTAAACTAAGCCGATCACTCTCAGGAGGGTCAGCTACGGTGACAGAATTACCCAAAGTTTTGTACAATTGGCTCTGAAAATGAAAGTATTTTGTAAACAAAAGAACAGTTGTAATTGGTAATTGGTTGCTTGAAAAACTGACCAAAGTTTTACTTGGAGGTAGTGTATGCAGAACTATATTTTCATTGAAATAAAATATGAGCAGTTTTTTGGCGGTACAGAACTTGAAAATGGCTTTGAAAAAGCAAAGATTTTATATTATACTGGCTAAAAGCTTTTTGTCTGACACTCCTCAGAGCATAAAGCGTCAGAATGAAGGTCCGAAAGAACACAATGAAAAATATATACCCAGTTGCAGATATATATTTGAGCATCTTAACTTATAAAGAAGTGTTATCTAGTAATAATTTTTATCCTAGACCTTGAGGCAAAAATAATGTTAAGCACTGTACAAACGCGATTCATTAGAAACTATAAATTAAAGCATAAGTCATCTTATCTGACCTTGGGTAATCCAAAATCATCACATTCCTTGATCAATGCACTGATTTCCATTGCTCTGTTAAAAGAAAATCAAGCAGGCATCAGGAGGATAGTGTGATCATTTTATTGCCAGTTCAAATAACCGCCAAATACTTTAAAACGCAACAAAATACGGGAAATTAACTGACTCAGTGCTATAATGCACTTTTCAACTTTCCACATTATGTATTAAGACACTTCTGATTTTCATAAATGCATTATTTGTTGCTGTTTATGTGACGTTAAGATGCCAGAAATCAGGACTACGAAAAACTTTTCATCGTCTTTCAACAAATTTTCCAACTAAAACTTGTAACGTCAGATTCTCCATGACTGTTGAAACCTCAAATACACAACAAAACCAATTTTTGGACTTGTTAACTGTGAAATATATTAAACATTGCAGGAGTTTCCTTGTTTTCAAAACTCGTGTTCTCCCGTTTTAAAGTCTGAATTTAAGTTAGGATAAAAAAATATTTTAAAATTGATTCCTTGCACCACTAGTCTGCAAAATATCCCTAAAAACTTCTTCTTACCTTTTGGAAATGAAAGCCGGGTCAAATGACGACATGACTGAATTCAAAACCATCGTGCTAAGAAAAAAATATTCTCAATCAAATGAATCCGTGAAAATAATCAAAATTAAATGCTGTTACAATAATTCTTATGATACGCAATTTTTCTTCTATAATTGAATCCCGCTATCTCAGACCATCAAGGGGGAAGGGGGTAAGAAAATGGTCCAACGGGGCCTCTAGAAAAATAAAAATCCTTCGTTACCAATGAAATATTTCAATTTGTTCCTATTGTTCTCCAATATTTTAATTAAATATTCTAAAAACTCACCTGTGGCAAGATTTGCAATTCTCCAAAATTTCGGCAAGTACCTCCTAAAATGAAATTGTTTAAAGGTATCATGCACTTCAAAGCAGAGCCCGGAAAGTATGGCGGACACATGGCAGTTACGATCGTCACTGAATACAAAAAAAATAGCCACACCCAAACCCAGCCTTGTTTTTGCTGTTTTCTTGAAGTAGGTTATCAAAGTTTGAGGGTAATGTCTGGGAGAAGAATGAATAGTTTTTTGAACAGGCCTTTAAAAATAGGCCTACAGTAATCAGCAATCCGAATACCTACTATCAAATCAGTTCTTGATATAGCAGCTATAAAATAATTAATACCATCATCCTTGCAATTCGCATTCTAGTTTTATAATTATGTGTAATTTCATGGTCCAAATATTCTGAACCAAAAACAACTATGATCAGACGATATATCTTGAAACTGCGTGATTTGAAAAGACATGGCCATGAAAAGTTACCTTTTGATTCAAATACAAACATTCTTGATGCAACATTAAAATACATTCAGGCCTCAGAACGGTTCCAGTAAGTTATCAACTTTCTCGTGAAAATCTCTCTCGTGTAAATTATTTTCTCTTTTGTCTAAATTTCATTCCTTTTACGATTGGAGTGGTGTCACTCATCATGTCTGGGCACAAATCTGTTTGATTTACAAGAAACATAGGTAGACTTGATATCTTCTTTTAAAAATAGCTTTTGGGAGTATTTGTCATATCTGCAACGCTATTGGAACGATGGGCGACGCCACTTCAATCACTTTTGTAGCTTATTATTGTAAAAATTGTATCTCTATGTTAAGTGTAAGTCTTACGGTTGTTATGCATTTCCATGCTCCCTAGACTTTTGTATTGTAATTGTTGTCGTTGTAAATTTTTATGTGAATATAAAAAAAAAAAAAAAAAAAAAAAAAATTTGAAAAGACGAAAATGTATTGCAAAGGTGAGGGGAATGAGTCTAGAGGCTCTTGTGACCAGGTCCTTTTGGATGCAGAAGAAAACCTTTTTGATGATAAGAAATAGGCCTTGTTATCAGCCTATTGTAGATTGACAGTTTGCGTAGTCATGATAATCTTATCACTGGAAGGGGGTGTTCCCCCTTTCCCCCTCGTTAACCTAATGATAATATATAATGTATATACCAATAATACTACACCTCTGATGCTTTGAAAGATATGCACTGTAGGATCCATTCAACGGCAGGCGCGTATAATTGCAGGTACTTTGGCATCTCTGCAAAGAAAATCTTATGGATGTTAAGATGTAGCCTAATTTGATTGAAATCGTTTATCACGATCGTGAACGCCATAGCAGATTTGTAAAAATTACTCTTTCACCTATTTCCTGTCTGTGACTCCAAACTGATTCAATTAAACAAATATTGAGAAAAGGCAACAAAAAATATAAAAGCATGAATGATCCTATTTTGATTTAGATAGCAAAAAAGAAAAATAATAACTTGAAATTTATATTTAAAGAACATTTTCTCAACCTTTCACCTTAACGTCAATAATTTCATGACGCCCAGAAGGAAACATGATTTTACACCCAACAGCCTGATAGATGGTGCTACAGTTTTAATACCCCCTTTTCCATAGTAAAATGTTGATATATCTGATATTAATTCACATACCCTGACCTTGAAATGGGGAGATAAAGACTGGCATGCATGCTATCCTGTATAGGCATTTGGTTCCGTAAATTTGTCCAGGGATGAATATGCATGCAAACATAAACAGGCAGAAGATGGGGCGAATTTTGCAGCTATTTAGCAAAGAAGCTTCTTCTCCCTTTTGACGCAACAGAAGATAAACTACATTTCTGAGAACCTAAAAAACCGTTCTGCTTTCCAGTTTCCACACTTAAAACCTTTGAAATAAATTTCAACTGTCTTTTAGTATACGGACTAGGGCTTTAATTGTAAAATGTTCTGAAAAATGGATAAAAATCTAAACCTATAACTCTCCTGAAATAATAATGATTTTTGTATTAGTTTAAAATTTACCATATAACTGACCACTTTGAAGAATAACGCTTCAGACAGACCTTCCCTACACGCCTTTCGACTGACAAACAGAGAAATCGAAAAAAATACAATTAACGTAATAAAGAACGATATAAAAAACTAATTACCAATTCCTTGCTTTGCCAGAGAATTCTGTACACTTACATCGGTCATCTAAATAGAACAAATCTAGTCAACCAAAAACATCTAAAGGCCCAAAGGCCAAAAACGATGTTCATAGAGCATAAAACATTATCATACATAATCAAGCAATGCCAAACAAATGTATGAAGATGTTTGAAGTGAAATTCGCGTGAAAATTTGCAAGAAGAAGTTGTTCTTGAATATCGTCCAACACATATGTGATGATGTTTGACGATGTTTTGTATGACGATGTTTTATCGTGTAGACGGGCCTTAAAATGCAAAATTTATCGTGGCATTCAATGGTACTCTGAACAACCCTCAAGCTTATAGATTGTTGAAAAATTAGCTTTCATTGGAGCATGCTAATACGAGCAACCCATTTATATTTTTCTGGCATTTCAAAGTGGAAAGCATGCAAAAAATATTGCTCAGCAAAACGATGATAAGATGTTCTTTTTCCCTAAAGCCTCTAAAAATTTGAGTTCCTGAGAAATAGATAAATCACTTCTATATTGCACACAAAACACCTCATTACAGTAAAGACATAAAGCCCTGGCCAAACGAATAGAATATCGGCATAAAACATCATCCAAAATTGTTGCATAAAACATGTTTTATTCGTTTGGCCACGATGTTTTACGATGTTTTACGATGTTTTACGATGTTTTACGATGTTTTACGATGTTTTGCAAAATTTGATTTCCATCAAACATTTTGTAGAACATCTCTTTTGTTCTCATGTTTGATGAACAATGTTGCGTTCGTTTGGCCACCTCTTAAAACATTTGCTTTATTAGGGCAAGCGCAGTAGGTTAAAATTTGGAAAATACAACGCAGTAACTGTAGGAAGCTGTGCGGCAGGGCTTGACCATCACAGATGTTTTAACAGTTGTTTGATTCGTTTGGCCAGGTCATAAAACATCGTTCCACAATGTTGGTACAAAAATGTTTGACAGTGTTTTACGGATGTTTGATTCGTTTGGCCGGGCCTCAACAACGCGAGTCCTTTTCCAATTTTATCACTATACATTGCTTCCAAAATCTCCCTCATAATACAGCAAAAGAAGCTAGTCCCATTCATATACTATCCGGACCTGTGGGTATCTTAATAGCATTCATTCTCTTGAGGTTGTCGGTTTTATTTAAAATAGCATGACTTACCTGTCCGTATGAAAAGAGAAAATCAAAGACACATGGCTTCTGGTGGTCTTTCACTTTCGGAGCAACGTTCATACCAACCTGTGATGAAACTTTCAACTGTCAAAGGATGCAATAAATTAACCATAGAAATCAGACAAAATGGTTAACGTACCCATATTGATGTTTTACTACTTGGCAGTAGAGCGCGTGAAGGAAATTGGCAATACGATATGTGACACAAGGCTGACATGTGAAAAATCAGAGATACACATTAAAACCCATACATAAGTGCCTACTCTTATAAGAACCAATGGAGTAAAAAGTGGTATTATCAGCCACATCAACACTACCCTTACATAAAAAATTACATTGACTTTCTATTTTTCCGTGTAGATATCAGTACAGCAACATAAACAACACAAAAGTTACGTAAATCGAGAACAAGACTAACAATCTCAATTGATAACATATCAGAACACTTAACAGATCAGTTTTATTATTTAATAAGCATGGACTTTATAAGAAGCCTAATCTCAAATCATCAAATGACGAGCTTGTTTTTCCTTCAAAGTGGAAAGCTCTTTCTTCTTCTCATACATGGTCTCTCTACCATTTATGCAATTGCCTTTTCTTCACCCTTTTTGGGATACTCGTTTACAGTGTATTAACATTGTGTGAAGACAGTCTTTTTGCCTTTTCTCTCTTTCTACACGAGCAACATAACTACAGGCCACTTTTTTGTGAAAAACTTAGGCCATCGTCCCTTATGGAACGACTCAAATTTAGGCATGCAGAAAAGCGGAAAAAGACTGCAAGCTGTTGTTTGGGTTTCAACTAATATTCGTTTCTGAGAGACAGAGAAAGATGTTGTCGGGGTTTATTTTGTTTTAGCTAAAACGCCGACCGTGGGAATGGCCAAGAAAGTTGAGTTGCAGGAAAAAAAAGAAAAGTCGAAGATCCGCTTACTTTTAAAAGATTCTCCTAGCTTTTATGAACAAAATTAAACGATAATTAGCAAAAAGTACAAGTAATGTCGTCGGCAAAATGATTTTGCGCGTTTTTTGAAGATAAACAAACCCAAACTCCTTCATTTAATATTTATCATTTCACAGTCACAATTCATGAAAAAATTGAGTCGTTCCGTAAGGGGCGATGTGACTCTAGTTTCCATATGTCTATTACAAACTTTTATCAGCGAATATGCAGGATATTATGCAAGATATACGCAAAACATTATCGATTACTCCCTTCTTGCTCTAGTTTTAATTGGTCTTTTGAATCGCCAGTAATTTCATCGCTTGAGTTTTCCTTTGCTTTTGGGGATCGCGAGTGTGTCAGTGCAAGCTTTGGTTGCCAAAGCAAGACTATAATACATTTAATTGTTATTTCTAAAAGGGGGCCAACCACTCAGCTTGCCCGCCGCCCATCCGCGCGGTCACTAAAGTACCGCGGGAGCAATCATCAATTGGCCAGGAGTTCCTCGAGAGGATCTCCTGGACCACGCTTCTTGCTCAGGGAGGCGGGCTATACCTCCTCATCGTGGTTGGGGATGTTATCTTTGTTGATGGACAAAGACGGGACGCGTACTATAGAAATGATCCTAGTAAGTACGGTCTTACCGATCAATGGTTGAAAAATCTCTCCTGTTCTCAAGATGAAAGGCACTAGATAGGGGTAGTTGTATTTGCGCATGCGTAGTGTGGGAAAAAAATCATATTTTGCAAAAGCTGTTACTGAGATTAGATGTGACTGTCAAAGTATTTTCTTGAATGTAAAAGTAATTTTACATCAATTATAAGTCATAATCTTTGCTCATTAAATGATATATGATATCTTTATTCAATTTACCACTGGCACAGACTTAGAGGTCACAAGCAACAATTTTTTAGATGTAAGAATCTTAGAGGTCTCAAGCACACAGAAAAAGAAGATAAATAGGAGTTTCGGGATACATAAAAATAGCTTGGCCCAGTGCGAGGGGACAAGGGGATAATTGCCCCTGGGTTCGTAAGCAAAGAGGAAAGAAAAAAATTATATCGTTGCTTCTTATGGTTTATGTTGTACTTATAATTAAACAATCTCTACTTTAAAATATGACATGGTAACATCGAGGGGTAGTTCACTCTTGCAAAAAGTGTACGAGATTTCCACAAAAACAAAAGGATTTCCAGGGATTATCTCATAAAACAATAGGATTTCCACCAAAGGTGCACGAGAGTTTTATTAAGTGATTTGCCCCTCGGGTAACATGACATGGTAATTCTCTAAGAAAAATAAATCCTATTTGTACTAGAAAAATTTAACAATACTCTAAGAATATAAATCAAAAGTAAACAAAAGTATTTTAGGTTTATTCCTTTGGGTAGGATGCGGCCTAAACATTGGGCCTGCCCCTTGGCCCGGCGTGGCTCTCGGTGGCCTTGGACAAAGCTCAAAATAACAATTCAACAAGTCATTCTGAATAATTGTAACAATACCTACCCGACACAAGTACGCTCTTGCGTAACAAGCAACCAACGGGTTTCCAATGCCACGAATTTGCCTTACAAGTCGCGTCAGTGCCCGGTAATACTCCCTGAGAACAAAGACATCGTCCATGTTATAAGCATACAATCAATTTGATGCATGGCGATGAATTTCATTTCATTCATTTTCATTTTCAATTTTTTAGGCATGGTAGCCCCTCAGTTAGAGAAAAACTGATTTACAGGGGGCCATGCATTAAATACCTTCTAATTTAAAATAAATATCAAAAATACAGCATAATACAATAAGCTTAAAAGAAATAAGATTAAAACAAAAATTAACATTTAAAAATACTTTCAAGTTAAAATCAACATTTAAAAAACCCTTTCATCATTTAAAGCTAGCGTGTGCCACTGAGTACGCGGAATATCAACGGGTTAAACTGTATCCTAGCATTTTGAAAGCAATCAAAACAAGATATTCTGGAAGTTTTGGAAAGCTTATCAGAATTGTGTTTGAAGCCTATATTTAGGCCCACAGAGAAAAAGGCAAGAATGGAAATGCTCCGGGGCCTGGTGTCGCCAAGAAGTTTGTAAAATTATTCAAATATTACATTTTACGTCAGCGGAACTGATATCAACTTTTTCTTTGTTTACTACGACATAGAAAATATGAATGCGGTAGTTAGGGTTCACTCTGTTGTTTCCACCATACAAATTACAGTCTTTCCTTCTTTTGCAAGCTGAATTGGAGGGGTCATCTTTGATAATATTACAACATCAAAATGAAGGGCCGTTGTTTCCGAGGATCCCAAGGGCCCATCGTTAATCTCGGATGGCCTGGCTAAATTACTATCGTGTTAGCGACAAAGATTAGATACTACAAAATTGCAGAAGGTTGCAGTTGGGCGTTAGTATGCAAGCAACAGCCAGTTGGATACATAAAGGATAACTTCTTATATGTCAACGAAAAAAACATATTGCAAATAAAATGGCCGACTAGCAAAAAGAACCTATAGTAAATACTTACCCTTTAGTTAGAAAATTATAACACTTCAAGATTGCCATTTCCACGTACCTGATTGAAGAAAGTGTCAAAGAAAACACTTTCCTTAAGCAAATATCATGTTATTTGACTTCTTTGGTACAGATGGAATTTTAACGCTCATAAACGAAATGTGGAATCTGTGTCTTTGTTGTAGGTATGTATTTTTTTCTGCAAGTTCTTTTATCAAGGTCTTGATTTTAAAAAAGCAGTTTTCGAAAAAAATTATATCATTGTTGTTCTATATATACAAAGGTTTCTGCCAGAAGAAGAGGTATGCTGGCGCAGTTTGCCTAAATCTCGAGTTCACATAGTTTGCATAAATACACGAGCTAAAGATTCTGCCTTCAACAATTTAAATTTGTAGGAAACATTGCAGTTTCTGCCCAAATAGCAACCACTTTGAAGATAATAGACTTAATTGAAGATAAAGATTTTGCCATGGCCATTGGCAAGAAAGGAGGTCCTTTTTGCATGTTAATTTAGGTTTTGGTTAGAGGCAGCTATTTATAAACCATCGCTTAGGTTGGCTAGTCTAGTGCTTTTCAAAATTTTTCAAATGTACCCTTACTAACGAGGGGGGTTGGTGTCTAGGGTAGCTGATCGCTCGTGGCTAAGCAACCGTAACAGCAGGAGCAAACGATTCTGTGATAGAAATATAATTTGCTTACTCGAATCAGATTCAATCATTGGGAAGTTACCTCGTTTATTTGCCGTATGAGCAGCTCTAGCTTTAGGGATTTCCATGGAAAACGCAGCTCAAATTGTTAGCGACAAAAATAAGAGACAGAAAATGAAGATATCATTGGCAGGAGTTTCAAGGATACAGTCTTGGTATCAATTCTCTGATTGACGCCACTTTGTAAAACCAGTTCCTACAGGTTTCCTTGGCACTCTCGGGTACTTGATCCGGTGTAAAGTCATCAGGAAGTGGAACTGGTTTATTCGAACCACCAGTAACTATGACAGACTTGCTCTTGATTCGCTCGTACACCAAAGTTCCTGGAAATAAAAAGCACTACTGCTGACCAGTGGCTTCTCAATGCATAAACCATATCGATTCCCTTTCTATCCACAAAACAAAGTTGCAGAATTTTCATTCTTGATAACGACAGGCCCAGGCCCAGGACCAGCCTCAGCCCCCCAAAGTTCGAGGCTAAAGGACGACATTGCCTAACCAAATATACGAAATATTGTCATCATGCACTATGGCATACTATACGCAAACATACATCAAAGTCTTATTTGTAATGGTATTAAAAACATAAATGTTTCCACTTGTCTGCAGTATCAATGTGTTGAAACAAATATAAATAAATATATTGAAACACGTTTAACACGAGACACTTAAGGCAAAATACATGAATGGCACCAAGATTGGAAACACAATCCGCATAAAAAGCAGACTTACCAAAATTATCGAGAATATCTGTCACCAACACAAATTTGCTTGGATAGAAAGGCATCACGGATATATCACCAAGCAGCTTGGCGCACTAAAACCAAATAGAAAAAAGTTGCCCTCTTGCTTACAAAGAGGAGTCTCGTCCTCTGTAGATTTTGTTCCAGTCTGAAAATAATCCGTTTTTGGAGAAGAGGGTCACCTAGGCTTTAAAAGTTAGCGATGCATAGGAATGTCTGGTTAATTCATAAATGAAAATTACCGTTTAACGGTCTGTGATATAGTACTCTAACCCGTATAAGCAGAGTTGTGCACACTTTGGTGTATAGAACAGGACGGTTTTAAGTTGCTACTCCATTTTGCAGCTGTATTGCCTAATGAGCACATTTGTCCAAAAACGTCACTATTGTATTGTTATCTAGCATCTTTTTTATTAGAACTCGATTCATCGTTTCTTACTGTAAACAGTATAGTACTATAAGCAAAGGAGATTAGTCTACGTCGAGTACATGCAACTGTATGATTGATAAACCCTATATTTATATTAGAAACTGAGTCCTAAGATGACAAAAATAGCACTGATAACCCGAACTTAAAACAACGCTCGAAAATGACTCTGCTAAAGATGGGGATGGGATGGAAATGATCCCCCTCGTCTATCAGGAACCTATTTCCTGCTAAATTTACATAGACAATAGAAGGAAGAACTCATTGCAACTGATAAGGTGTTTTATTTCAATATGCTTGATGGATTTAAACCAAGGGCTCAGTCAGTGTTTCTTTTTGTTATCAAGGCAAACAAGACGGGCTCTACGGCTGAGCAGCCGAACCTGTAGCATTATTTCAAGATATGTCTATACGAACAACTCTAAAACAGACCTGTATTGATATTTTCAGTGATTTCACTCGTTGATCAGCACCCCACGCCTTTAACAGCTCCTTCAAAGGATGAATTGACAAAAATAAGATAAAAAGGTTGAGAACTTTCAAATAGCTCTATACCACTATTGTTCGACCAAAGAAAGGTTTCGTAACAATCGATCTTTCTTTGCATCGTGAAAATCAGAGTTTTTCGTCTCAAGTGTTCAAAAACAGAAACATCCTATATCTTTCAAGGGCTTATGAATATGAATTGAAATTTAGTATGTATATCTTCTTTGCTTTATGCAGAGGTGCAATCGAATTGCAACTACTAAACTGTAAATTGAAAGTACTGTATTGAATGATACTACCCATTTTGGAAAATATGTGCGTATTTCTTCAACAAAATTGAATAAGAAGTAAGTTAAAAGCCATACCTGATTTAGGTCATCAATCTTGTTGACATAATCCTGCTGGCTGAGGTTTAGCATTTCTTTTAATGATCCCTTATGAAAACAATAATCAATATATAATCTAGCTTCATTATAACGTTATACAATCTACCACTGATCAAGTAAAAATCTTTAGTGTTTGGTTACAAAATCAATAATATTTGGTGTAGGAATTTTGAAAAACTATAAGGGGTAATGCAACGAGAGGTACTAATTCTACAAAAGTCGGGTCAGCTCTCAGGTCCTTTGGTTATCAATGTGAAGATGCAACGAAAAATTCATTGAAATTATCTTAATATCAGGTATAACGTGGCAGCAGTTAAATAATTTTTTGGTGAAAAAATGCATTAAAATCATATTAAATGCAAATATGCTATATTCAATGGCGTGACAGAGGCAGCCAGGGCCCGTAGGGATTCTTTAGTTTGACGCCCCCCCCCCCTGCCCCAATTATAAGCATTAGTAAAACAGCATAGACACAGCATCAAATGCTAATGAACAATTTTTCCATTTATTTTGACTGAGATATCATACAGGCTCTGCCCTTTGAGCTCGTTTATTGCATCCAGAGTACTAACAAAATAACAGATAAAATTTTTGCCAGGGGCCCCTAAAGGTTGGGGGCCCTTAGTTTTTTTACTAAAGGTAACTTTAGTCAGTTCCACCACAGGCTATATTCAGATGGTAGCAATTCTGTACTCAAATTCAAACCCTGAATACCATTCTTTTTAAATGTCATCTGGCAACCTTAACATTAAAGAATAGCATATGCTAGTATTATAGGGTCTGTTTTAAACCTGCTCTACAAATATCTGCAATTACATTACTTGCAATACGACATAAAGGTTTATAAATATCCACTGGTTGAAATCAGATAACGGTATACTTCCCCTTAACACATATAAATTCATCAAGATACAAAAACAAAAATTATGGTGAGAATATATAAGAACCATTTAAATGGCTTATCAACTTGCTCAAGTATTCCTAGGTGCTTAAAATCTTTTTCAGTAACAGCGCCATCATCCTATTGACCTATACAATTTAGGTAAGATCAACACATTTTCAAACATGAAGCATCGCCACCTACCTCTTCAAAATCATCAAGCTGTTCTAACCTTGTCTTCATTTTATCTGTTGCAGTTGTCGTCATTTGTTTTGCTACCAGAGGAAAACATGAGGCAATTTATGTAGGACTTAGTTTAGCCGTCAAAACAGCAACAAACTATACAGTATCTAAAATATTGTAATAAAATACTGTACTAATATAAATATGTCTTAAGTGAGTAATTTGTCAGCCTCAGTGAAGAACATGTTGTGAAAATGATAATAGAAAGCTGAACAGTTAATTTGCAAATTGCTTATTGGTATAGATTCTAAGCTAAGAATGTCTAGAGAGATATTCTTTTGAGGTAATGAGTCCATAGAAAAGAATTGTATCTTTGCAGCTATGAGGTTTTCTTGTAACTTTTTCACATGATCAGTTACGGTTCCTCTCCATCTTTCTAAAAATGCATACACTATAGATGATGTGATGAGCTACAGCGTAGTAAATGTAAGTATATATACTACATGATATTTCAAAAGATTTTAGACAAGCAATTTTTCAACAGTTCTTTTGCAAGGTATAAACGTTTTTCCTCATTGCCTTTGAGTTTTAAACAAACTGAAGAAGACCAACTTTGTATAAATACAAACTGATGCATCTCCTATGCTTTCATAGCATTGCTTTCAGCGCAGCTTTGTATATGAGGGAAGGGCAATAACTCTTTCATACCAACAATATATCAACAATGGAACCATTTAGCTAGTTTTGGCAAACCCAATCCAAAAAGTGATCAGTTTGATTATGTTAATTTAAACTTAAAGAAAGTGGGTTGCAGAGGTAAGATTAAAAGTGCTCACCTTTGTCTACTTGGGTTCCAGAGAGAAAACTCTGCAAAAATTGCATAATTGTATAAAAACTATTGTATGAAATGATAAATGAATAATTAAGCAGAAAAAATGTTTACATGGAAAAGAACATAAAAAGGGTTTTCGCTAGAGATGGGTATTCCAGTAAATTGCTTTTAAACTGATGATTCATTTTGTAAAATGGCTTTATTATCTTACTACAAGTTACAAATAATCCATGCTGAAGATTGCTTGAATATACCCTGTCAAAGCAAGATTTGTTGTATCAGAAAAATTGGCAGTATTTTAAGTTCTCTTATCTTGAAGATAGGAATTTGACATTGATCATGTATCAGAATATACAGATTTGTTGTATCAGAAATCATAACAATTCATAATGTTGTAATATTTCCTTGTTGATGATGTTTGTACCATTTGTTTTAAAAACTTTCAGCTGTATTGCCTCTGTAACTATCTATCTTATTGTTAGTGAAAGCTCTATAATATCACTTTTGTGATGTTGAGCTTAATAGATAATTGATCTTTATTTTTTGAAAACATACCTCAAATGGGGGAATGTTTAATTATCATATTAATTTGATGATTACAAACACAAAAAGTGTGGTAAACTCAATATTACTCACAGTTGTTATTGAAAGTCTCTCTGATGTTGTATATTTTGACAGAATATTTATTTTCTTGCTTGTCCAAGCCTCAAAACTATCATCAATATATTCTTCTTCAGTTTCTGTAATTTCTGCTTGACTAAACCTACTCTTGATAGGCTAGAAATAAACAAAATTCTAACCTTAAGTTAAAATAACAGAAACTACAAACATAAAGATTAACTGAAAATTCACTTGGATACAAACAAATTGGTACATAAAATATACAAAAATGCAGGCCTTTTCATTTGATGTGAGCGATCATTTGCGATCACATCAGCACGGAAAATTGCCAGTGAATATCAAATCCTGTTCAAATTTTTTGGAATACTATTATAGGCACTTAGCATTTGATCATTGTCTGAAGGAGTTTAAAGCGTCTTCAAAAAAGATTTGGTACAATAGTTTGCAATCACCCAGCAATAACGTCTAAAAGAACTTCATGAAATTTATAACATTTATAAATGAAGCACATTTATATTAGGTATTTAATATTTCTTGAAATGTGCCAAATCATCTTAAGACAGGATTATACAATTTGTTATAAACATTACTGCTGCTTTTATAATTTGTTGATTTTCATTATTAACATTTTTTATCTTTACCCCAAGTGATCGCTCACACAAGAGAATCACACAAGCGCTGGGTCCCTTGCATGGGCTACTTCTTTCGAAAAGGCCTGAAAATGGTTGATATCAAACTGATAACTAAGTATAAATGATATGATTTAATGATACACTTTATTAGACATTAGAAAATGATACACTTCATTGTGGTAACAACTCTCTCATGTTTGTATATGATGAAAAAGTTGGCAAAATCATGCTTGACGCTGTACAGGCAGAGCTGTACATGTTTATATATAGAAGAGAACAAATAATTTGTTTACTGGTCTATCACAAAGTGTTTGATGCCATCTGTTAATGGTTCAATGAATATAACATAATGTTTATAAAATAAACAATCCCTGTGAAAAATCTTGCAGGATCCTGTATAGGATCCTCGAAGGATCCTCACAGGATATTGGTAAATGATCCTATAGGATTGTGTACAAGATTCTGTATAAGATCCTATAGGATCTTATAGGGTCTGTTGCAAATCCTGATTTGCATGGTTACCCTGTTGCAAATAATGTTTCATTCAATCTGCTACTCCAAAATTCTATAATCAGAAAACAGTCTTTTTCAAACAGCTGGACAATGACTATTAAACATATGGATAAAAACAGATGCATACTTCCTTCTTCTTTTCTTCCAAAGTCTGTTCTTGTAGCATCATTGATAATGGATCAATGCCTTCAAAGGTCTGTGTTGCCATCATTGACAGTGGATCTAACATTTCAGCCTGTTCTTTTGGCTTCTCTTTCTTTTTCTCCTTTGTTCCTTTGCTTGACAAATTCTGAATAAAATAAAATCACTTACAGGAATAGTGAAATTTATTATGTATGTCTATTCTACACATGGTTGATTTTGCAATACTGCTAATCAATCAAGGGTCATAGAAAGGAGGAAAACACCCCTTTTCAAGATCATTTCATTTTAATATATTTGAATAACATATCTTCTCTTCAACTTCTGATCAACACAATTCTATATCATCTCGACAATTCATGCCAAACACATCTTGCATGAATTCTGAGCTTTGAAAGCAGCAAGAGCAATATCGGCAGGATGAACAAATGAGAAATAAAATGTAAGAAATGTAACATTCACTTACTGTTACAACAGTCCCCCTTAATGGGTGCTCCTCTGTTGGAACAGATTTGCACTGTCTCTCTTGTTTCTCCATGTCATATTCACGTTGGCTAGGTACCCTATAAAAATTTTAAAAATGGTTATTAAACAATATTTCAAGATAGGGAGGGGAGAGAGAACAGAATTGTTTACATGAAGTAATTATTTGACCTCTCATTGATGCAGCAGGCACAAAATGGAGTACCTTCATTCATATATCATCATTTAAAATTAAATTTCGATTTACTGCGATTCACTCAGATTAACTATCAGGCAATTTCAAAGACTCTGGTTTGTAAATTACCTTCTGTACATTGCATACTATCTAAAAGCAATATTTTTGTAAATAATACAAACATTAAGAAAAATTCACTAATGAAACATTAGCCAAAGAATATTGCCTGTCAGCTCTATCTCAGTTTTCCACCAATTACATAAATTTTACCTTCAGGGGAAAAGTAACTTACCAGCTGTATTCTGAAGCCATCGTTAACTGCTACAGTCAACAGCAAGAGCAAAGCTCTAGTAATTTGCTTGTGCGAAAACTTTAGCCTTTCTGTCTTCCTTCTTGTTCCGCAAAGTGAACGAATAAGAGGCTGTTTCACCTCGAGGTCCAGAAGTACAGAAGATCAGTGGCATAGAACTAGAAGGGCTAGAATGCGCGGTCTATTGTTCTTCACCTGTCGCGCGTGTTGCCACCGTGGGGAACTAAAATGGTAGCAACAAGTTGGCAAAAAGCAGCAATAACAACAGAGGATTAGTACGTGTCGAGCCGGCCTCTTTTAATTTGGTAGCTTGTATGGCGAATAAAACCGATATTGCAAGTCAATGGATAAAAAGTATGTTCCAGGTAAGATTTGCGTATACTTTTAAGCACCTAGCGGGTACTTCCTTCTTTAAAAGCTGTGGTATCGTCTGGCGCAGGGCTAGGTCATCTCTAAAATTTCGATGTAAAAAATAAGATTTTATTAAAAATATATTGATTTTGTTTGCATGAATTTTAAAGAAATATTTACATTGTCAAATACCTGTCTTTAAGGTTAGGGAACGTTTGGAATCCAAGTGAACGCGAAATTTCGAATGCCCAAACTGAATCGCATCCCAACATTGAATTTGAACATTAGTCCATTAACCCAGTCAAGATGTGTTACCAATCTTTTTGCCAAATCTTTGAGTGTATTTATCGAAAACAGAGGAGTTTTATTTTACATATTATTATAAATGCCGATTTCTCAAGTTGTGCTATTTACAGGTTATGCTATTTACAAAAAAGGGATCATCTTATTAAAATGTTGTTTACATTTGTCAATCGTCAAGAGAGATGGCATTTCCTCCATCTACTTTAAAAGGACCACCAGGCTACTTAACCGCCGCCCGGCACTCGGCGTTATATAAAGTTTGACGATTTTCAAATGAAACAACATAATCCTAAAGGTTTTATTCAGAACCAAAGTTAGTCGTTATAAAATAAAATCTGTTTTGTTAACTTATGGCGTTTTGATGCTTTGTTTTTCTTTATGATACGCTCTGTATATACTCTTCCAAACTGGAAGCAGAAAATTTTTAGATATTTTTGAGTTATTAATTTGATTAAAATTGTTATGTGATCATCCCTCATGTGCTCATCCAAGATATGTGTTGCCTTTGAATGTTCAGATATAGATGTAAATGTTGACATCTTCGTATCTTGCAATACTTTTGATTCAATTTGTTTATTCATATCACTTGAAATGCCCTGCCAATTACATAATTCCCTTCTAGCAATTCTATCAACGCTTTGGACAACCTTATAAACAGACCAAGATGGAACTAATAAATTCCCAAACCTTTTGCATGATATGAGTGAAAGATTGCAGCTATAGCCATAGTCATTAGAGCTGTCTGAGCTTTGGTACAGAGCAGTTGCACAATCAGGACAATCAAGGGACTCTAGAATTTTTTTTACAATATAGCCAGAAATGTATTGCAAGACATCATTTCTCCAAATGTTATTTGAAAGGAGCATGTCATTGACAGCTGGGTCACTGCTTTGGATTTCATTGCTTTCTTGGATCCTGCTGATATCAATGCAATTGGCTGTGGATGGAGCTTCAATTTTATTCTTCAATAAAAGGGATCGCAGTGCATATTTAAACTGGAGGGCTGTTGGGTTATTGTTCCAACCAAAACGACTTCTTATTTTTGAAAAGTACATTTCAATTTGGTCCTGAGAAAAGCGATATGTTAGTATGTATTTGAAAGGAGATTCTGACCTTTCAAATAAATGTCTGCTAATATTCAGAATCGATGTTGCAGAGACAGCAAAACCAATTACAAAGGTCTTTCTTGGCCCATTGATTATTGGCAAGCCTGCTGTATCCTTAAGAGACTTAAGATAATCAATCCCATTATTAAGGTAACCTTGAAGCTCAAGGATATTATCAGGTGTGTTTGGCTGCTTTGTATGCTTACCAAATTTGCTTTTAGAGTTTAAAATGTCAAAGATGTTGTTCATCAACAAAATAAACTCACTTGTGGCCTTGCTGTCTCTAAACTCTGCAAGTTTGAGGCTTCTTAAAAAAGTAATGGCAGCTGCAACAGAATGGCTCAGTGTCTGTGCAGCAATACCAACTTTCATTTTGTGGTTCTGCCATTGAATATGCTGGGTCTTAAGTTTGTTGGCTAAATTTAACACATCTTTTTTCTGTGCTCTATATAATGCCAACACATACTCCCATGATATTCTTTCCCCAGTAGGAGTACAAAATATTTTAATGTCTGCAAAAGCATTCCTTGCTAGCTTTATCATATGACAGACATCTAGAATGATAAAAATTTTTTTACCAGGTTTAGCAGGATGCGGAAAAGAACCATCCAGCTTTTTTATGTTAGCCCCTAGTTTTTCTGCCATAGTGATATTTTTAGGGGCCCCATCAAATATCACTGCATGCACTTCAGCACCTTTTTGTGTGACCATTGTTATGGCTTCAGTTATTATTCTAGCCAGGATATCACCATCTAGTGCATTGGTCAAAAAATATGCTATTGGGACATACCATGGTTTTTGGAGCCCAGCTACCATGAAAAGAAGTGCATTTTTAGCAATCGTGTCTGGTTTTTCTCCCTTAAGTGGACCATAGTTCACATTACCAACAAATCTTGAATTTTTCTGGTCCCATTCAAGTTTTGTTTTAATTGCCATTTCATCTAAAATTATGACACAATCATTCTGACCCTCTTTTACTTTATTTTCAATGAAATCAAAGGATTTGTCTAAAAACCCAGGCTCGCAGTCAATGTTAATAGCCCAAGAGCGGATAGTTGCAGGGTGTGGTAAATGAAGATGTTTTCTTATGAACCTGTATGCTCTTGGGCTGTAAAAGTGAAGGGAGATTGCAAACTCTTTAATCTCCTGTGAGTATCTACAACCAGCCTGTTTTAAAGCATTTTTGGTTTCATTTCTAAATAACTCAGTTGTCAGATGACCAAAATTCTCTGCTAATGTCTCCTCGCTTCTTTGGCTGAGCATTTTTAATTCTTTCAACTGAGAGCAAAGGCCTTTGATAGTTTTTTCCTTTCTCACGTTACTTATTCTCAACTTTTTGATGATCTTATTTTTTTCTTGAAGTTTCCTTTTGTATTTTTCTGCAACTTTTCTAGGGGAAGTCTTTAAAACATAAGTATGGTCATCAGCAAGCTTAGGTTTCTTCTCAGTTGAGGTTGTTGGTCTATTAGGAGAAGCACTAGGTCTTTTCCTTGGCTTTCGCTCTTTTGTTTCCTTTTTTGGATATGGGCGGGAAAATCAAAAACAGATGGTACTGCATCCTTTTTCAAATATTTTTTTCCTAATGACTGATAGTTTGGTAAACAAGAAGGATAGCTGTAATCACTTGGAAGGAAATGTTTTTCACAAATTCTTTGCGATGGTGTTGGGTGCCAATCTTTTCTTCTCATTGCAACAAGCCATTTACCCATCAATTCTTTATTTGATAATGGAAAGCTGTGGAAAATATACCACAAACAAGATTAAATTTCATTTTTCCTTTTTTACTGCAATAGGTAACCCTCAATTTGCTGTCATTTTTATCTACTCTGTGCAAACTTTAAAATATTTGATTATGAAACCTGGGGGTCAACCTTTGAAGTTATGGGTCTCAACACATGCTGACAACTTTCAGCATAAACATATGAGATAGTACCGTAAGAGCACACTCACATTATTTTACAGCCTCAGTTGCAATTTTAATATACCCAAGTCTTTCTTTTTAGTGTGTACGAAGGAAGAAACGCAGGATATATTGTGCGCCGTATTCTGTGAATCTTGCAATGAGTAATATTATGAATAATAGTTAGGAACAACAAAGTAACACTACGATGAAAATCCAATGTTTTGAAATAGAATTTCAAAATACATATATTTAATAAATACTAATATTTCTCCCCGGCATGAAGGGCTTCATTAGAGGCTTTCTTGATAGAACCACCAAAAAATTAAAAAGCTAAAGAAAAAGTGTACGTCCAACACTTTCACCTCGTATCTCTAACTGAAGGCCCGATAGGTTTGAAAAGTTTTATTACAGCGCTCTCGAATAATAAAAAATCATTTATCCGACAAGTAAATTTTTATATTGAATTATCCAGAAATGCCGAAAACTTATCGTAGTATTGAATTGCGATCGTGAATGCCGGGTATGTGAAATGTTTCTTATATGTCAAATAAACCCTTCCGCTTGAATTTAATTCAAAAAAAGATTAGAATTAATCTTACATATGTCTCAAAGTTTGTCTTTCAATTCAAAGCGCTAGTGAAGAATAGGCCTAGACTTACTGATGAAACGACACATTCGTTTGTCCTGGACGAAGATCCTTCGTTGGGATCCAGCGATTTTCGCAACCAAACGCAGCACAGGATACAACCATTATACAGATTTTATCAGATCTGAACCAATTCTGAATAGTTTATCGCAAAATAAACGCAAAATTTCGGGTATGTGACGATCGTCATTAAAGTCGGCCTATGTTATCTGAATATTACTTCCGTGTTTTCTGCCAACTTGTTGCTACCATTTTAGTTCCCCACGATGGCAACACGTCACGTGACCTACCACGCATTCAGTGGGTACAGCTCAGGATTGGTACAGCTGGGGCAGTGCCCTGGGCCCAAGCCCTGGCGGGGACATATATTCGAAAATGACCTTTTTTTATTCTTCAACGATGACGCGTTGTCATTCCATGCTTTTTCCTAAAAGAACCCCAAAAGGCTCTAAATTTGATGTTAAAGTATGTGAAAACAATTATGTGTCGTTAACATTTGATACATTTCTCGACAATCTTAAACTCAGGCTAGCAAAGTTGGTCTGTCAAAACAAAGTAACATAGAATGAAAGCTTCAACATGTCACGGCTTTGGCTTAACAGTTTTAACAATATATATCGAGAGAGAGGGGCTCAGAAGTTCACTCGCATTTAATTGTCACATAGCAATCTTTGTTGATGCAATCACACCTATTTTGTATAAAAAGAAGCTCAGGCTAAAGGTTTGCGGGGAAGGTTTACATTCTAACCACGCTTCAAAGCGCTGTGTAAAGCCCGTTTTCACCTTCAAATTCAGAGAGAGAGCGTTTCAAAG